GATCTTTCTACGGGGATTAGTTACAACCAACAAGGGTTGATCGGCTCATATTTTTTTAAGGTAGTAATTAGTGTATTATTCGATTTAATATATTTTATAATATAATTATTAAAATTATTATTTTTAAATTAAAATTTAAAGTGAAAAAATTATTAATTATTAATTTTAATAGTTGAATGGGATGTTTTAATAGATGTATTAATCATTTTTTATTGTTTTATCATATATTTAGGACATTCACACTCATTTTTATTTTTATTTTAAAATAACTATTTTTTTTTTATCGAAATTTACTCAAGATTGGTTATTGTTTTTCTATTTGAAAGAAGATAAATTTTTTGCTATTTTGATTTTAGTCTTTTTTTACTTTAATTATTCATTATATCACAAAAAGTTTTTATACTGGACACCTGTTGATACATATTGTGATTTAACACAGTAATTAAAAATTATTATTTTTAATATAGAATTAAAGATAGATAAATTTAAAAATAAAATCTTCGATACATGATATAAGAATTGATTGAATCGATTATGCTTACATTATAATTTTTAGTTAAATTGAGATGAGTGTTAGAAAGTATATTGAATCGAACATATATCAATTATTTTTCAAAAATAATATAGGTAAAAGTGAAAATTGTACATATTGTAGGGAGTATATTTTACAAAAAAAAGAAAAAGAAAAAGAGAGTAAATGTTTAGCTTGAAGTGGCAATAAAATATAATGTATGTAGGTATAAGTATTCTTTGTATTCTAAATTAATAATAAAAAATTAAATGATCAAAAAAATATTTTACAAAAAATATATACAATTATTTCTATACAAAAAAGTGTTTGTAATTCAAATGGTAAAACATTAACAATTGAATTAAAAAGGTCTCTTAATAATGGGAGAGGACTTCTTTGTTAAATAATTGATATTTTACTATTTAAAATAACGTAAACTATACAACACTAATGCCGTTTCTATATTTTTAAGATATCTATGTAGAACTTAATTAAAAAAACAATTATTTAAATTCTACTGAATATTTATAATAACATTAATTAAGATTTTTTTGTTTAAAATAAATTATAATAGATTAATTTTTAAATCAAAATATATCACAATATTGGGATGATTCGAGAAACAGTCAGTCGATCATGTTACATTCTGTGTGATTGATGATTGCCTATGTTCTTTGCATACAATAGACAAAGATCACAGAACAAGCGCATTAAGGCTAGTGGGTTCATCCTATGCTTTAAAGCTTCGGGGCTACTAGGTTGCGAAATCCCAACCTCGTACTCGCAACGCATTCCATTTCTCAGAAAAATCTGCTTCTCATGTTCGAAGAAAAACATGATGATCATACTTTAAAGGCTGTAAGGGTCTGTTTGGATTAACTCCAAAGAGTTTCAACTTTTGAATATTATTCATATTTCATGAATTAATTCTTTTTTTAAAATTTATACTTTTAAATATTTTTTTAATTTTAAAAAGTTGTTAAACATTAAAAATTCGAAAATTTCAAATCCAAACTTTTCATAAACTCCATTTTTACTCATTTATCACTCACTTTTTTCTATC